CGGCGGGGTCCCTCGCTCGTTCGGTGGCCGAGGGTGGCCTTCCCCTTACGCCGTCCTTGTCGCTCCCGCGGCATAGTCGCCTGTACAGAAGGTGGCGGCAGCAAAACATGTTTCGCTCAGGGCGCTAAGTAGACAGTATAAAACGGTATCACCTGTGCGCTACCCCCTCCTCTGGGTGGCCTCGGACCTCCAATGTGGTCTTCAGTCTTCGTCTTTGCCGCCTCCTCGAGGTGGTGGGATGTGTCGCACATTAAATCGCCTACCGCAGCCGCCGATACTAAAAATTCTTAGACAAACGCACAAAAAGACAAGCTACACGAAACGCGACGACAAAAATCTCCGCGTTTCCGCCCGAAAAACGCAATAAGCGTCGGCACGCCCGCCCTCCGCGTCGGGAGGACACAGGACAAATTTGCCGCGCTACTTTGGCCAGGTCGAATGACCCTTGTGACGGACGGTGAAAAAACGTCACGTCACAACATATAAATGTGTATTTGTTTTGGTTTTCTATAAAAATTTCATATAATAATTAGAACTATATATATCAAAGTATCACAAATAAGATTGAACATCTCAGTTAATATCACAGCGATCTAATAGCGATTGCGACTAGGACAGTTAAAACATATTAATGTGCATTGATGCATATTGAATTCATTACGATCGTTGTCACACAAATGTTGTCATAACCATGCGTATTTGACATAAATATAAAAACATATTAAATCGTAAAATTGTTAATATGTTCTATTGTGCTATTAAGTAAAATATTTTCAATTCGAAATATTTGCGTTTTATTTTTATCCAAATTAAAATGATGTATAACGGATTTTATGTACAACAGTGCGCATCAGTGCTCCTAGCCGAAATTGCTATATAAATTACTTGTTTCATTGGGCCTGTCCAATTATGTTTTACAAGAATCATTGATATATTGTAATAGTAGACCAATAAGACATTGAAGCTGCGCATGTTCAGGTATTTTATTCAATGCAAACTCTATAGCACTCAGCATGGGCTGAATATTAAGAGATGTGTTACGCATCTCTACTATATGACAAGTACTTGGTGCTGATGAAGCCACGATTGAGTCACCAATCTTTTTAGCCAATTCTGACATTTCCTTAGTCTGTTCAATTAAGCACTTATTGAAAATGTCTCCCTCCTGCCGTTTCTTGATTGCAAAGGAATCAGGTGATGGCACTTTGCGCTTGGTATTCATGTTTGATATAGCCTTTTGCATTTGTGCAACTGCATTACATTTAGTATTATTTTTAGACTCACAGATAACAGGTGTTGTAGTAGGTGGAGTTGTAGGAGGTGATGTTGCAGGAGATAGTGTTGCAGAAAGTGATGTTGCAGGAGATGGTGTTGCAGAAAGTGATATTGCAGGAAGTGGTGTTGCAGAAAGTGATATTGCAGGAAGTGGTGTTGCAGAAGGTGGTGTTATAACTGATGTTGTAGGAACTACCATAATAGAGCCCTCAGATATATCTGTGGAACTATAATATCATCAGGATCTGAAGATGTAATAATTTATAATAGAATTAGAAAGTTGCTAGTTAGTATGCATATTAATAAGTCTTTGATATAAAGAATGACTAAAATTATGTTTACCAAACTGTAGAAAGATCTGATATTATATATTTTTTAAGTCCTTACGTGTCAATGTCAATAAGGGCGAATGCCAAATTATAATTCGATACAGTTCTGCAATCATATTACAATAATTAATAACATTA